AGAAATACTTTCATCGATGGAAAGTCAAATAAAGCATGATGAAAGTTGAAGATAAGTAGATCTTTGTGAGAAAGAAGATGATGTGAAGAGATTTGTTTATAGTAAACAAGATGACATCGAAAGACAAGACCTTGATTAAGATCGAAAAGTTGAGGATTATATTTTTCTTCATCTAGGATATGATTGAGTTGTTCATGTGTTGTATAAGTGCTTTCAATAAATATAAATAATTTATTATTATTCTGGCTGAAATCGATGATTTGTTGCATGAGTCGATTGCTGTGTGGATGAAAGTTGAGTGATGTTCGAAGGGATTCATGTTTGGTAATGACTAGTTGAAGAGCATGATGAAGACGTTGTACTGATAAAGTATGATGTGAGTAGAGAGAATAAACAAAAGGCATTTTGTAGATTGGTACTTGTGATCTGTTGGGAGGGAAGTGAAAAGATTCATTATACCATAGACGAACTTGTGCAAATGATGCTGGTGCTAGAATAATCAGAATTAAGTTGATTGCAGTTCTGAAACCGAATGATCAACTGATGCTTGATTTCAGTCTCCTAGCCACGTTTTAGGCGAGCTGTTTTCTAACTAGTAAAACAATTGATCGAGAGTGTGGAGTCCGGATTCAGATTGGATTAGGTAATAGCCGTTTGAATACCTTTGTATCACAACTGAGATCATATTTTGATACATTGTCGTTAATACTAGAAGACAGCTAAAACGTTTGCTATTGTCGTCGGGTAGGTGTGCGATAAGAGAAAAGACATTCCGATCTACATCGGCATCCTCACATCTACGTCCATCCTCTCATGATCATTAGGAAGCGTAATCTCAGTTAAAATATTACATTTCTGTTCTCGAATGATCTAAGTGATATAGGAACATATCCTCAATGGTATTTCTGTATAAGGTATTGATTGTCGATGTAAATATTAATTAAGAAAAACGTCATATCTAGATAAACATACCTTCGTTTATGATATGTGATTGTCGACAAAAGATAATATCTTCCATTTCTTGAGTTTCTTCTGGTAGAATAAGATTAATCTTCGATATAGATGTAAAACATGTATCAATTCGATTCATAGTTTCTTTCGATGAAAAAAGTTGTTGAATACAATATTCTAATCTTTGACCTATATTTGTAACTGTAATCTCATCAAACAGATCATGTGAACAAGTTAAACAAAATGATAATCTATTATTTTGCAACATTGGATTATAGATAAATGTTATCATAAAACCAAACTTAGCCACTTCAAAAGATTGTTTAAATGACAATTGCTTGAAACTTGCTCCATCTAAAGATAATTCATCACTGTGTGACGATATTGTTATAAAGTCATACACTGTTTCGAGAAATGAAATATTTGATTGATTAATATGTAAATTAGCAAGAATATGTTGAAGTGGATAATGTGAATGTTCAAGAATTGATAAACATTTTTCTTGAACATATTTAACCAGTTCATCAAATGACCATTGAGGATCAAGTTGAATACGATATGGTAGTGTCGAAACAAACATTCCCATTATATTTTGTAGTTCAGTTTTGTGTCGATTAGCATTAAGACAAGAAAAACATAAATCATTTTCACCATAAGTTAACTTGGAAAGAAAAGCATATAATACACTCAGACCTAACTGAAATGGTGTCACGTGATGTATAGAAGCATAGTCAAAAAATAATTGTGAAATCTCGTTGTCAAAAGAGGTTTGAATGACAGAAGCAGAACTCGATCGATGATCATTAGACAAGCGATGTCGATCAGCTGGTAATAATAATCGAGATTCCAAATTGTATTCTTCTAATTGTAAATACCAAAATTCACGAGATGTTGACATATCAATTAGACGTTCATGTATACTGTAATCAATATATTGCAATGATTCATCATTTTCTGCTGATATTGTGTTAGTATTGTAAGCTAAACATAGATCATTGAAAAAGATTGAACGGCTTGCTCGATCAAATGCTGCATGATGAAAAGCAATGAGGAGAACATCAGAATTAGTTATGAACTCATTGTTATTATTTTCATTTTCATTTAATGATATTTGATGTTTCAGAATTTCAACATGAAAAACTTGACCACTAGATAAATGGAAGAGATTAGGATTAATAGTTGTTTGATAAACAATGTTTTGAAGTTCCTTTTCATTTTCAAATGTTTGATTCATAGTTACTGTGAATGTTTTATGTATATCTGTAATGCATTGCTTTAAATTACTATTATCATTGTTTAACATAAGAGATGTCCGTAATATTTTATGTTTATTCAAAACACATCGTAGTGCTTGTAATAAACGATTGAATGATAATGATCCTTGAACAACTTGTAAAGTATGCAGTTCATTGTAAATAGCAATATCACTCGAAAAACGAACTTGTTCATCGAGAAAGATACGTTCTTGAGCAAAAGAGGCAATACCTGGGAATTAAACAATAGAAACTATTTTAATAATTTCCAAGCAAACACTTTTACCTTCATTTATATGTAATGTGCACCATGGTGCTGTCTTGATATTATTCACTATAACTGTTTGAAGTAATTGTGAATGTTGAAATATAGTTGGTTGTTGAAGAAATGGAGCAATGGAAAGTGTATGAGCATCAAAGTTAAATACTGATTGATAATGATGATAAAGTTCAATAAATAACAGTGAATGACCACCAATACTAAAAAAACTAGTAGTTCTAGAAATGTGATTTTTATTACAATGAAGAACTTGACACCAAATAGAGTGTATACGTTCTTCGAACTGATTAAGAGGAGTATCAGATTTATCGGGCGATAACAAAGTTGATAAAGAAAAATCGGGTGAGGGAAGTTGTTTTCGGTCTACTTTTCCATTCTGATTCAATGGTAATTTATCAAGTATAATAAATATAGATGGAATCATATGCGGTGGAAGATGAGATTGACAATGTTCACGCAATTCTTGCTCATTAATATCAGAACTTTGAACATATGCAACTAAATGATCATCATTCCATTTCACAACAACACAATTAGAAATAGATGTAGTGTTAAGTAAACATCGTTCGATTTCACCAAGTTCAATTCTTTGTCCATGTAGTTTGATTTGATGATCTTTTCTTCCTTGATAATGAAGAAGACCATTGTTATCCATTGTAACAAGATCACCTGTTCGATAGAATAGTTGACCATCTATTTCGACAAGAGCTTTTGTAGTTAAGTCATCACATCCAAGATAACCAGCAAAGATACCCACCCCGCCTATGAACAACTCGCCTTCTTCTCCGACCGCCGCAGGTTGCAAAAAACTATCTAGGATCTTGTATTGTTCATTAGCCAGAACTCTACCAAGAGGAATGTTGCTCTTAATAGATACGGTGTCGACACGATGACATATCGACACAATAGTACATTCAGCCGGTGCGTATATATTGTGCATGTAATACTTATGTTTGCTATGGCTTCTGAGGCGGTCAACGAGTTTTTGTGAAAATGCCTCCCCTATAAGGATACGAGAAAATTTTATTATCACCTTTATTTTGCTTTACGAACCGCCAATGCAAAGTGATCGCACAGTTGACCAAGAATATCGACTGGAAAGTGCAAAAAAATCACATAAATGATTTAAGAAAGTTGGAACAGGTGCAAGACATGTGATCTGCTTATGTTGCACTGTGTGAGCAAAATACTCAAAATCCATATTGCCGTATGGATGTAACATCACAACAGTCGCACACAAAAGTAAACTACCCATGATTTCCATGACATGTACATCGTATGTCGGAGCACATATTTGAGACACTATGTCATGCTCGTTTAATACACCAGCATTTTGCATAGAATGCACGAAATTTGTAAAGTTTCGATGCCTAGTCTGAGCCTATAACAAAGTGAAAACTGTCAAAAATATTTTAGAAACTTCAGAAAACATACTGCTTTTGGCGTTCCAGTAGAACCACTTGTAAAAATAATGTACGCGACATCGCCCGAGACTGTTATAACTTTCGATAGCCGAATCAAATCAGTAACATATTCAGTGACATGGCTCGTTAATACTGAGTCAGTATCAAGTGAAACAGTATCTTGATCGAATTTGGTCTTAGTTAAATGATGAACAAGTACAAGGCGACTTTGAGTTTGTTGCGTGAGTGCATGTAAACGATGTTGTGGATCTCGAGGTGATAATGGACAATAAACACCACCAGCCATTTCAATCCCCATTATACCAATCACCTAGTTAAAATCAATCTCAAATTCACATTCATTGTTACTTATCTTAATTAACTTACCATTGACAAACTTCGCTCAACACATTGACACACAACCTCACCTGGAACAACATGATATTCATTAAGAAGAGTTAAAGATAATACTTGAACATAATAAAGCAGTTCACAATATGTCAACGATTGTTCATCCAATTCAACAGCCAGTTTTTGTGGATGTTTCATTACTTGGCAAACAAATTCATGATGAATACAAGTGGGCGGAGATGAAAATAATACTTGTGTATTATTCATTGATTGCATGAGTAATCTTTCATTTGGTAATGTTAATGATAATTCATAGATGGGTTTGTTTATTTGACTGTGAATAATAGATGCAGATAACTGATGTAAGATGCAATGAAATCGCTGCGAAATCTTCGCCACTGTGTCTCTATTGAATAAGTCAAGTGATGCATTGATTGTGCATGAGAATTGATTGATATTGAGATCATGCTGGATTACAAGTGAGAAATCATACTTATTTATAATCATATTATGAGTAATATTCATTGTGAAAGGTATGGAAGAAAGTTGACTCTCACCAACCATTATTAGTTTGTTGTCACTTCTTGTCATAGATGATAGAAATTGAAATGATATATCAAGAAATGCTGGTTTTAGGACATTTGAATGTTGATTGAGAATACGTTGAACAGGAAAATAGGAATATTTCATACTATTTGTTGTTATTTCTCGAACATAATCGAGTAGAGAATGAAAAGACCAATGAGGATCTAGTTGACATCGTAATGGAATAACATTCTCGAACAGCCCAATGATAGATTTTAGTTCATCTCTATATCGATTATTAATGTTCATTGCAATACATAAATCTTTTTCACCATTCGTTAATTTGAATAAATAAACATAGTAAATAGCAAGTGCTAGATGCTCATATTTGATGTTGTTTGATAATGCATAGAGAAGGAAATGATGGGAAAGATCTTGACCAAAACCAAAAGAGATAGATGTTGTCTGATTAGTTCGATGTTCGTTTGAGAGGCGATATCGATCATATGGTAATGATAAAAATTGATCGAGATGGGTATCATGCAGAGCGTTAAGCCAAAACATACTTGCACCAGTCATTGACATTTGTTGTTCAAGAACAGCATCTACATAATTAAAGACAAGAATGTATTAGAAAAGAGAAAAGTACAAGATTTATTCATATTTACAATCAAGATAACGTAAAGTAGTGTTGTCATCATTGAAGGGTAGTTGACCTGTTGTATATGCTTGATTAAGATCATGAAGAAATATATACATCGATGAAAGATCATATATAGCATGATGAAAATTAAATATGATTACATCTTTATCAGAAAGATAGTTGTTAGGAGAGATCCGTCGGTGATAAACAAGATGACATCGAAAAACACGAGCTTGAGATAGGTTGAAAAGTTGAATATTACATTTTTCATTTTTTATGATATCATTGAGTTGTTCCTCTGATTCGTAAGTGCTTTCGATAAGGATAAATTGTTTGTTAATATAATCATTCAAACTAACAACTTGTTGCATAAATAGATTCTTTTCGATATCAAAGATAAGTGATGTCAGAAGTGATTGATGTTTTGTCATAACTAGTTGAAGAGCGTGCCAAAGTTTCTCTACTGATAATGTATGTTCTGAATGAAGACAATAGACAAAGGGCGTGTTGTAATTGGTCGTTTGTGATATATTAGTGTCGAAGTGAGTTTGTTCACCAAGTAACAGATGAACTTGTGCAAATGATGCTGGTGCTACAATAGCAAAACTTTCGTTAATTGATGAAACTGATATTGCTGTTTTGTCAAGATAAGTGTTTTATCAACTAGTCAAAAAAATGATAATCTGTCGAATAAAAATACTTGAAGCCCATTTTATATACTAACAAATTTTTATTTTCTCCCTATTAGTTTCACTTTATATGATATATTTAATTGAACTAATTTTCCATATTTCTGCATATTACATCAAGCCATCTATCATGTGTATGAGATATAAAATAAATCTATTCAAAAAGCTAAAGCTTTCTATCGAGATTTCTTATATACAACTGATCTAGCATCTACTTTAGTTTTAGAGTGGTATATGATATTATCTAGAGAACTATCATCAATATTTAAGTGTTAATTACAGGAATACCATAGCTTTGAATAATCAAGATAGCTTTGATATTTCAGATGACGGATATCTTTAGATGCATAGCTCAAACGAACTAATTTCCGCATATATTAGCACAAATTCTTTTAGACAATGTGTCTAAACACATGAATAATGTGAATAATAAGCAAGTGCGATCGGATTTCAATTTTAAGTTAAATTCCAAATGAAATATCATATGGTCGTAGTCATGACATGTTTCTAAATTATTTCTGTAAACAACCTCCTTAAGAAATATATCTATATGGATTCCTGATACAACAAAAACAATTTTAAACATAAATCCTAATTTATTTCTGATCCAAACGTAGACGGTATCAGAATATCATCGCAATTTATCTTTACCTAATTTGCAAAATAAATGGAATGTTTAACTTATGCGATTGAATGCAAGACTTGAATGAAGAAACTATTGATCAGAAGTTTTGCAAATATTTTGCTAATCTAAACAACCCTCAAGTATTTGCTCATTAAAAAACAAAAAGAATATATATTATAAATTCATAACTTGGTGTCTTTAAAACAACAGTACTTATATATATAAGCAGGAATTTTCTATTTTTTCTATTAAATAAAATGTCTTGAACAAAATCATAGATTTTTCTTTTCCGGTTATGATCATAGGTATTATTAAAAGCATTTTTTTTCTAGTATCACAATTACAATGTAGTGGAGGATTTTTTCAAGACTTTGTTTAATGAACATCATTTAGTTAAGACGGTCATAAGTTTAACCTTCAAGATGATTAAGTTCATTTATAGTTAAACTTTTAAAAGATGAAAAGGCTGTTTCTTATAATAGAAGAGAAGAAAGCTAATTACAGAAATTGAGCTGATGAATCCTTAATATATTGATACTATAGTTAACAAGAATTACTTTGTTCTTCGTTCAAAGTTATGCAATGCTCTTTGATAGGAATATTCAGTCGTCCAAAAATCTGAAATATAAGAATTTCGATCTAGAATTTTATCCATAAATAGGTTTCATAATCTTTAACTTGCTCTAAAACTTTCACTCAAAACGAATCTCTTCTTGTTAAAATAATTCATACTTAAAACCGACCGACTACATTTCTCAAAAAACCATTGAAAATTGATTTCTCTTCAACATTCTGTACCTTGAGAAGGAAATAACTGTTGCCATCACTGAAAACTGCAGAACACACTGGACATCGTTAGAGCTATGATTGAGCAAAGTTTTAGATAAAATTTTTCTGTTTCTCCTTCAATGAGGCTGAATAGCCCATCCAAGAAACATCTTTTTTATGGCGGGATAATTTGTCAAAAGATCGGTTAAAAATTTATGAAATCATCTTATCTGGTAGATCGATATTGATTAAGTATATTAGGTATACTAAAGAAGACTAAACACTACATTTGTGAATAAAAAAACTTTAAAAAAGAATGATAGCATTGGAAAGATCATCAGTTCTATAAAATCAACTGTCTCATCCGATAGTCACTTGAAAATGATATTTTGGTCTCGGTTTCACCTCCAAGACAACTTTAGTTCAGAAAAATATTAGTTGCAGTATGGAAGACTTTATGATGATTTTTCTTTTTTCTCGTCTCTTTAAGCATGTTGTAGAAAAACTCTATCTAAATAATATGTAAGACAACTCAATAAATCAAATAAATAAGATCCATTAATGTTAATCAAATCAGGTATGCTGCGAACTAAATACAAATATCGATCCATTTATTTAAAAACACTTTCTCTTATGTTTTAACAATATTTTATTTTTAACTCTCTTTTGTATACTTTCTCTTTATGAATGTTGTTTAAAATACGAATCATTTTAACAAGTTAACTATATTTTAATGTAAATATTTTTCGATATGTAAACGCATTTAAAATATAATGAAACTATGATCAATAGCTGCGATAAAAAATTGAAATATGTTCGACTATGGTTCAACGCATATTTTATTATCAATCAAACATGGTCAACAGACAAAATGCGTTGACTTTGTATTTAGTGTTAACAAGATTCAAGCCTATTATAAAAAGCAAGTTTTCAAGTAATTGTGAGATTGATATTGAAACTACATTTGTACTATTAATAAATAGTTATATTATGATTAACATTGATATTGGTTATTATCTTCACAATTGAATGTAAAACTATCAAGTTTTATAGTAGCATACTAACTAATCAGACAGAATAGCAGATTTAGATACTTTTTAAAAATAACACTATCAGCATATATTAGAAAAAAATTTCTTTCTCAAGCATACTTTTCTCTTAATAACCATATGAAAAATTTCTCCACCAATTATGCAGAGAATTAAGCAAGAAACATTCTTTTAATAAATTCTCTAAAGTCAACACTGTAGACATAACATTTTTAAAAGATTACTTTTTTTGATGCTAATCACAATTTCCGCTTTTGTAATAATTTTTTAGACAAATTCAAATAAAAAGCGAACTGATATTACTCTACAAATATTTCATTCCGATGAAAACGTCAATCCCAAAAAAACATACCTTCCATTATAATATTTGATTGTCGATAAAACATAGAATAGTCGATTTCGTCAGCTTCTTCCGGCAAAATTAGATCAAGTTTCGAGATAGATGTGGAAATTCTATCAAGTTCATTGACAGGTTGGTTCCACGAGAAAATTCTTTTTGAAAGATGTTCCAGTCTCTGACATAAGATCGCAACTGTTTTCTCGTCGAATATATCACGTGAACAGGCTAAAACACACGACAGCTTATTATTTTGTGATGATGAATCATAAAGAAATGTTAACATAAAATCAAATTTGGCTATTTCATATGATTGTGCCAATGGCAATTGTTCTAAATTGTCTGTATCTAAGTTTAATTGATCATCCTCGGAAGAAACAGATATAACGCTAAACATTGTTTCGAGAAATGATATATTTGATTGAGTAAGATGTGAATCAGCAAGAATATGTTGTAATGGATAATGAGAATGTTCAAGAATTGATAAACATTTTTCTCGTACATACTTAACTACTTCATCAAATGACCAATGAGGATCAAGTTGCATACGATATGGTAATGTTGATACAAACATTCCTATCATATTCACTAATTCACTTCGATACCGATTGGCATTAATAGAACCAATACATAGGTCAGTCTCGTCATGAGTTAATCTGAATAGAAAGACATACAATGCCGCTAGTCCAAGTTGAAAAAGTGTGAGATGATGTGATGATGCATAATTTAGAAATGATGTGCATATTTCATCATCAAAAGTGATTTGAGCTGAAGAAGCTAAACCTGATCCTTGTTGATTAGTTGATGAACGTTGTCGATCAATAGGTAATGATAATTGGCGTGCAATACTATATCCTTTGAGTTCTAATTGCCAGAATTCACGAGATAATGACATATTCATGACATGTTCATGAACAGAATAATCGATATAATTCAATGTATTTTCATCCATAAATAAAGAGCCATCAGACTGATAAGCAAGAGAAAGATCACCAAGGAAAATTGATGTTGATGCTCCATCAAACATTGCATGATGAATACTAATTAATATGTGATCATTTTCACTCAATAGATCATCATTCTCATGTGAGATACTATCTTGAGATTGATGATAATGACGAAGAATATGACAACGAATAACACGTCCTTTTGATAAATCAAATAAATCGGCTTGATTTAATATTTCTTTGACCATTTCATTCATATGACGATGACCCTCATTATAAATATTAACGATTGTCAATCCATATGATTGCATATCATCATTGAAAATGATATTTGCATCTAAACAGTGTTGTATAATATTACTATTTGTACCATCAATATGAAGTGCTGTTCGAAGAATTTGATGTTTTCTCATAATAGATTGAAAGGCATGTTGTAATCGTGAAGTAGATATATGATTATTCATAGATGATATTCGATAAAGTAATGGAATAACATACATATTATTCATGGTTGTTTGGTTGGATGAAAAACGAATTTGTTCATCTAAATAGATTCGTTGTTGTGCAAATGATGCTCTAGCTACAATGAGAAAAGGACACAAATATGTATTTGATCATAGTATCAATTGCAAGTTGTTTTGCTTACCTTGAATGAGATATAATGAAGACCACGGATAGTCATCCAGACTGTGAGTGATATTTAGAGATTGCTGAATGAGTTGAGCATGATGCCTAATTGTTGGATGTTGAAATAGATTTGAAACAGAAAGAGTATGTGTTTCTAAATGAAATTCGATCTTGTATCGATGAAAAAGTTGCATGACGAGTAATGAATGACCACCAACAGTAAAGATGTTTGTATCAGTTGAGATTTGATTTTGTTTGAGTATCTCACACCAAATATGATGAATAGTAACTTCAATATCATTTGTGGGTAGTAATAGTTCTATACTGTTTGTGAGATTTGTAGATGAGAAGTGAGGTGGCGGAAGAAGTTTTCGATCTATTTTTTCGTTTTGATTCAATGGTAATTGATCAAGTATGATGAATATTGATGGAATCATATGTGGTGGAAGATGAGATTGACAATGTTGACGTAGTTCTTCTTCATTGGTGTGAGATGATTGAATATATGCAACTAAATAATCATCATTCCATTTAATCACAACACAAGCAGAGATGGATGTGATGCTAAGTAAACATCGTTCGATTTCACCAAGTTCAATTCTTTGTCCATGTAGTTTGATTTGATGATCTTTTCTTCCTTGATAATGGAGAAGACCATTATCATCCATTGTGACAAGATCACCTGTTCGATAAAATAGTTGATCATCTATTTCAACAAGAGCTTTTGCAGTTAAATCATCACGTCCAAAATAACCAGCAAATACACCCACTCCTCCCACTAGCAGCTCGCCTTCTTGACCGATGAGAGATGGTTGTAAATATGGACTCATGAATATACATCGGTAATTAGAAAGTGGTCTACCAATTGAGACGCTTCGTGTGTTCTCTATTAGGTCTATTCTGTAGAAGGTAGAAACTATAGTTGTTTCAGCTGGACCATATAGATTCCACACAATACAGTTGGTTATGCCAATTTTCAGGATCAAGTCGATCAAATGAACAGCAAAAGCTTCACCTAAAATAAAGGTAACGTAGTGTGACGAAAGGGCGAGAGTTTCTCGTCACTCACCGATACTACAAAGTGAACGCAGATGTTTTACGGCATTTATGTTCCTGTTTTGCTCAATAAAAACGAAAAAGCTATGTAGAAAGCTTGGTACAGTATGTAGATATGTGATCTGTTTGTTCTGTAAGGTTTCAGATAAATAGTTGAAATCAATCGTTCCACCTGGATGAAGCATAACCAATGCGCCTCCAATCAACAATGTACCAAGTATCTCTTGAACATGAATATCAAATGAGCATCGTGTCATTTGTACTACTGTATCATCTTTATTGAATGAGTTAATATAAGTCAAAGAATGCATACAATCCATAAAGTTCCTATGTCGAACTTGAACCTATGAAAGAAAATGACAATCAATCAGAAATTAGAAAACTAAGTTTTAACGAACCGCTTTGGGTGTTCCAGTTGAACCACTAGTGAAAATAATGTAAGCTATCTCTTCTTCTTTCACTTTCACATATGAAAGACCTTTCTCATCTATATCATTCATATTTAATATTGAATCAATATCAAGCATAACGGTATCACAATTGAATTTCTTCGTAGTTAAATGATGAATAAGAACAAGACGACTTTGAGTTTGTTGTGTGAGTGCATGCAAACGATGTTGCGGATCTCGTGATGATAATGGACAATAAACACCACCAGCCATTTCAACTGCCATTATACCAATAACCTATACAATATCAAAACGTCTATCACGCTAAACGTCAATCTCAGCAAAAATAACTCACCATCGACAAACTTCTTTCAACACATTGACATACGACCTCACCTGGAAACACATGATATTCATTAAGAAGAGTTAAAGATAAGACTTGAACATAATTCAAGAGTTCACAATATGTCAATGACTGTTCATCTAGTTCAACTGCTAGTTTTTGTGGATATTTCATCACTTGATATACAAATTCATGATGAATACAAGTGAGAGCAGATGGAAATGATACTTGTGTGTTATTTAATGATTGTATTAAATATCTTTCATTTGATAATATTAATGATAATTCATAGATAGATTTGTTTATTTGATTATCAATAATTGATGCAGATAATTCATGTAAGATGAAATGAAATCGTTGTGAAATCTTTTCCACTGTTTCTCTATCGAATAAGTCAAGTGATGCACTGATTTTGCATGATAGTTGATTCATGTTCATATCATGATAGATTGAAAGAGAGAAATCGAATGCACTTAATATCTCATCTTCATTATCGTTAAATGAGAAAGATGCTGGAACAAGTTGAGAATTACCAATCATTATTGCATTGTTATCAGTGTTACTCTTGTACGATATAAACTCCAGAGATGTATCGAGAAATGCGTGTTTTGAAATATGTGGATGTTGAGTGAGAATATGTTGAAGTGGAAAATATGAATATTTCATACTGTTTGTTGTTGTATCCTGAACATGTTCAAGTAATTGATGAAAACACCAATGTGGATCTATTTGACATCGTAATGGAATGATATTCTCAAACAGTCCAATGATTGATTTAAGTTCATCTCTATATCGATTATTATTGATGTTCATAGCCAGACATAGATCTGTTTGTCCATTAGTTAATTTAAATAGAAAGATGAAATAAATAGCAAATGTGAGATGTTCCAGTGATATGTTATTTGATGATGCATGAATAAGAAGCTCATATAAGAGATCTTGACCTAAATCAAATGAAATAGACGTTCCACGACCAGTTCGATGTTCATTTGAGAGACGATATCGATCAAACAGTAATGGTAAAGATTGATCGAGTTTACAATCATGAAGAGCATCAAGCCAAAACATACTTGCACCAGTCATTGACATTTGTTGTTCAATAACAGCATCTACATAGTTAAAGAAAACAATGTATTAAGCAAAAGATAAGAACTAATTATATTTACAGTCGAGGTAACGAAGATTAGTGTTGTCATCATATAGTAATTGACCTGTTGTGTATGCTTGATTGAGATCATGAAGAAATACTTTCATCGATGGAAAGTCAAATAAAGCATGATGAAAGTTAAAAATAAGTACATCTTTGTGAGAAAGAAGATGATGTGAAGAGATTTGTTTATAGTAAACAAGATGACATCGAAAGACAAGACCTTGATTAAGATCGAAAAGTTGAGGATTATATTTTTCTTCATGTAGGATATGATTGAGTTGTTCATGTGTTGTATAAGTGCTTTCAATAAATATAAATAATTTATTATGATTTTGGTTGAAATTGATGGTTTGTTGCATGAGTCGATTCTTGTGTGTATTAAATATGAGTGATGTTCGGAGAGATTCATGTTTTGTGACAATTAGTTGAAGAGCATGATGAAGACGTTGTACTGATAAAGTATGATGTGAGTGCAGATGATAGACAAACGGGATGTTGCAGGTTGGTACTTGTGATATATGAGGAGTGAAATGAATAGATTCATTATACCATAGACGAACTTGTGCAAATGATGCTGGTGCTAGAATAATGAGAGCTTTTTAGATTATAATTCAAGAGAATAATAATGAAGTCATATCCGATATCAGTGTCTCAGACACTTTTCATATGATCGGTTTCCTAGCTAGTAAGAGAATTGATTGAGGATGTTGGATCAGTATTATGACTGCATTAACTGAAATTCATTATAATATTTTTTCGTTAATATTAGAAAGTACTTCAAAATTTTGGTATTAGTGTCGAGTTTATTTCAGTATAACACGAATGTTGATGATTCTGAGAAGAGCGCAGAACTGATGAATATTTACAAGGCTAGTAGGTAAAGTGGAAGAAAATATATATGTTATGAGATTTATCAAGATTTGTAGTATATTAATACATGTATATACAACGTCAGAAGAAAACAAAAGTAAACCGAAATATTTGATGATTGAGAACGATGTGATATAGGTATCTTATGACTATATAGTCCGACTATGACTGCGAAGAGCTCCTGCCATGTTATTCTAAATCCGATTTCATAAATTTTTATTACTTCACTTCGAGTTTAGTTTCGACACCCAAAAATCTCAACAATTTATTACTGATAACTATATAGTGACGTATCACATACTTAGTACTTACGTTAATTTACTTATAAGTCAAAGAGAACTAATCCTGCCAATGACAAACTCTGCAATTTATCAACTATATTCAACAGTCTAAGTAAATTAAGTGTGATTTGTTTGCTGAAATAAAATCTACAAGGCATCTTAGTTTTGATAGAGTATCAGTTTCTACATAAACAGGCTTATGAAAGATTCTACTATCATAGTTGTTCTGGGTCTTGAAACGAAATATACAACTTTCCAGCAACGATAAGTGTTATTTTTTATTGATTAATATCAAAATACAAGACTATTTACATATTCAAAGCAGATATTCATCAGCGATCTCTTCTTAAAAGTTACAAAACTAAACCGCCTGAAAAAGACAACCCGAGTCGTTAACGATTACAACTCATTTGAGTCCCTATTTTCTCATTATTTATTCCGCTAGGATTCATTTAAAACACTGAAAATACTATGTCTGTGCATTGGAATGCACTTTAATGTTTATTTCTCATTCCTGATTTAACTAACTACTACTTTTATAAGACAATAGAACAAGCTGTACACAATCATACCTTCATTCATAATATTGTCTAATCGATGAAATACGGCTAATTCCATTTCTTCAGCTTCCTCAGGAAGAATAAGAGAAATTTTGTTAATCAATGAACTCACATTCATCACAGTAGTGTTGCTTGGTTGTGTTTGAAACAATTGCTCAAACATATACTGAAATCTTTGAGCTATTTTAGAAATAGTTGATTTTTCAAACAAATCATGTGAACAAACAAAAGAACAAGACAATTGATTATCATCTGATGCTGGATTGTATTCAAATCTTAATGAAAAGTCAAATTTAGTCACTTCGGCTGATTTTTCTAATGATACTTGTTCTAAATTTGCATCATTTAAACGAAAATGCCCCATATCTTTTGACGCAGTAATAAAATCGAACATTGTTTCAAGAAATGCAGGATTTGATTGAGTGACATGTAAATCAGCAAGAATATGTTGTAGTGGATAATGAGAATGTTCAATAACTGATAAACATTTTTCTTGTACATATTTAACTACTTCATCAAATGACCAATGACAATCAAGTTCAACACGAAATGGTAATGTTGAAACAAACATTCCAATTAGATCTTGTAGTTCATTTCGATATCGATTGGCATTGATAGAAGAAATACATAAGTCAGTCTCACCATGAGTTAATTTGAATAAGAAGACATAAAATATGGATACTCCAAGTTGAAAAAGGGTGAGATGATGTGATGATGCATAATTTAGAAATGATGTGCATATTTCATCATCAAAAGTGATTTGAGCTGAAGAAGCTAAACCTGATCCTTGTTGATTAGTTGATGAACGTTGTCGATCAATAGGTAATGATAATTGGCGTGCAATACTATATCCTTTGAGTTCTAATTGCCAGAATTCACGAGATAATGACATATTCATGACATGTTCATGAACAGAATAATCGATATAATTCAATGTATTTTCATCCATAAATAAAGAGCCATCAGACTGATAAACAAGAGAAAGATCACGAAGAAAGATTGATGTTGATGCTCCATCAAACATTGTATGATGAATACTAACCAATATATGATCATTTTCACTCAATAGATCATCATTCTCACATGAGATACTATCTTGAGATTGACGACAATGGCGAAGAATATGACAACGAATAACACGTCCTTTTGATAAATCAAATAAATCAACTTCATTTAGGATTTCTCCAATAATTTCACTCATATGACGATGCTCATCATTATGAAGATTAACGATTGTCAATTCACGTGATTTTATATGATCATCGAGAATGATATTTGCATCTAAACACTGTTGAATAATAGTACCATGTGTATCCTCAATATAAAGTGCTGTTCGAAGAATATGATGTTTTGTGATAACACATTGAAATGCATGATGTAATCGAGTAATTGATACATGATCATTCGTAGATGATATACGATAAAGTAATGGAATAACATACATATTATTCATGGTTGTTTGGTTGGATGAAAAACGAATTTGTTCATCTAAAAAGATTCGTTGTTGTGCAAATGATGCCCTAGCTAGAATGAGAAAAGAAAGAGATGAATATGTAGTTGATAATAATATCCAGTACAAGTTGTGTTGTTTACCTTGAATGAGATGCAATGGAGACCAGGGATAATCATTCAGAGTATCCATGACATTGATAGATTGTTGAATGAGTTGAGCATGATGACTAATTGTTGGATGTTGAAATAGATTCGAAATGGAAAGAGTATTTGTTTCTAAATGAAATTCGATCTTGTATCGATGAAAAAGTTGCATCATAAGTAATGAATGACCACCAATAGTAAAGATATTTGTATCGGTTGAGATCTGATTTTGTTTGAGTATCTCACACCAAATATGATGAATAATAACTTCAATATCATTTGTTGGTAGTAATAGTTCGATACTGTTTGTGAGATGTATAGATGAGAAGTGAGGTGGCGGAAGAAGTTTTCGATCTATTTTTCCATTCTGATTCAATGGTAATTTATCAAGTA